AATTAACTATCTTGAGGCAAAGTTTCATCCAAATCAAACATTGCCATTTTTTTTAAATCGACTTTAAAATTTAAAAAAAGATTTTTTTTTCAGTGTAGGTCTCAAATGATATTTTAATATTTTTTTTTCGATAATTTGGTTAATTTACTAAGAGTCATCCATACAACACATTTTTGTAGGAGTTGTCATTTTTCCATAATATTTTTTTGAAAAAAATCGTCATAAAAAGTTTGGCCCTTCTCAAATGTTAGTCTAGATAAATTTTGGAAAAACTAAGTATGCAAAGTGGCATATTTAGTCAAGGTCAGAAAGTTTCATTGAAATCTGAGAGGGTGCTGCCAGCTCCGAATACGATTTGACGCGAAATGCGTCATCAGTATCCGTAACTGAACAAATTGAATCAAAATTGGAATATACGTGGTCAATTAAACTTCTACCTTGCCTGAAAATACCGTTTGCTTTAAATTGAAAAAATCAGCTAAGCGCTTCAAATGATTCCAATTATAGTTGTCACGCCAATAAATATTAAAATCACCAGCTAATATATTAAATTTACTGAAGTCAAGGAATGTCTCGAGCCAGTTCTCTAATCCTTCAACAAAACGCTGGTCACTAGAACTGGGAGAATGATACAAAACACCATAATTACCCATCTTCATGCCACGTACCCCGTACGTACGTAACACCCAAGACCCAGTTACCATCAATAACTTCGTTGATACGAAGGTCGAATTGAATTGATTCTTTGAAATAAATAGCAACGTAATGCTACGTATGTAGTTTGATGAAAACCCCGCAATATTCAAATACAAAAATAGAATTGATTCACATTCCTTGAACTTGGCTGCTATTTATTGAAACGCAAGCTGCAAAAAGTCTTTTATATAGCAAACCAGTGTTGGAAAAATATCAAAAATCAAATCTCACCAAAGCACAAGATCACGCTTGATTTGATTACTAATTTTCAAATTACTAGCACGACGAAAAAAATCGACGAGAAAATCCGAGTTTTCCGGATGTTGTAAAAGATCTATTACAACATCCGGAAAACTTGGATTTTCTTGAACAATATCATCATAATTACACACTTAGAAATAACTAATTTTACACGTGACGGAGTCCATCCACGTCCATCTTTCACATAAAGGATGAGGCGTAAACAAACATGTCATGTAATATTAAGTGCTCCGAGAGTGAAAAGTTCGTTATTCCACTGACCACTGAAAAGGGAAAAGCTAGGGCTTTCGTTTGGCGTAACCGAAATGTTTAGCAGCCATATTGGATTTGGCCGCCATAATGGATGTTTATAATAAAATGCGATGTTCATAAGAATACGCAAAAATTTAGCACTGTTGAAAACTATTAGAGCTCTTAGTTACAAAGGGGTCCATTAATTTGACCATTGCCGATCGAATTTCATAGCTTCTACTAGAACTTCTGAACTTCTGAATGAGTACAAAAAAAAAGGTTTTTGAGAACATCATGCAAAAAGTGGGCTGGTTTCAGTACCACTGAGAAAGTCAGTCCTGAATCTGACCTTTTTGCTGGAAACCCTCCAATCTTCTCGGATTGGTTCGTTTGAACTTTGAAGCTGGGCCTGTGATGAGAACGTCCAGATTTACATTCAGATACAGCAGATTCAGGAACGTGGTGAGTGAATTCTTAACAAATCTTTTCACCAACAAAAATAACCTTGGTCACATGAACAACTTTGCCGAAGACGGAAAGTTTATCGCTAGGACATAATAAAGCAGATTCAGGAAGTCAATATGTATACTAGCGCCGCGTTATGAGTGAATTCTGGACTAATCTGTTAAACTTCCGAAAGGGAAGGGTTTGCTCTTCTGAACAACTTTACCGAATATAGGAACCCGTTGCCCCCTAACGTGGGTTGATCACCGTTTCGTGGTACGTTACGGGATGTAAGATCTACCACCGATTCCTAGTCCTGACTACTTCAAACTAGGGGAAAATGATTTATCAGTAATCAAAGGAACACATCTTAGTCCTTGTTACTTTTTATGCATTGTTAATAGTGATAAGTCCTCGGGTTGCTTGGACCGAGGATGATCTTGAAACACGGAAAAAATGAGTTAGTTAGTCTTGATCTATGTGATTCCTAATCTTATATTCGTTGTTCCCTAGGTTGAAGTGGTTAAGACTAGAGTTCTGATGCATGGTCATTATCGGTGTCATTCCTTAATTTTGTTGCTAAGGAATCCAATTTTGACTGAAAAAGAGGCGCGCCTTTGGAGGGTGTTTCAACACTCCGAAGGGTATTAATAGCGTTACCTTTTAATTAGAGTTGGATCCTTGCGATGAATAGTGATGGAGTAATACGACATACACTAAACTAAGCACACGGGATATACTACAATAGATCAAATTACTAGCACCGACAAACCGACATGAATGACCATAGCAAAAACAACAACATTTATGACCAAAGCACACTACTGACATCTGGCTCCGTGTTCACGGGAAATATTTAGCTAAGCCATGAACCCGCATGCAAAAGTTACGAATTGATTCGTGTCTGATCTATTCTGGACAAATTATTTTTATCCAGATCAATAAATCCTATGGTTTTGACAGTTCGGATCACTGCACATTTAAATCGGCCGTTTACGATTTTCGGACATAAGTCAGAATCAAGTATCATGTCGGTTTGTCGGTGTTACTAGTCGCAGTGGTGTTAGGTCTCGAACAGAGAAAAAAAGGAACTTCGTTGCTAGGCAAGATCTCGTGCCATAAACAGCAGATTCAGGAAATCAATATGTATACTAGCGCCACGTGTTGAGCTAATTCTGAATGTTGGAAAATTGCCAACTTTTCTGGAAATTCCGCAATAATAATCCCGCGAATAAAACGACCGGTACTGGGGTTGATTTACTGTCCGGAAGATTATTATTATCCTAAAAAGAATATGCTTTATTTTAACAGTTATCTAGCAGTTAAACCAAGAACTAAATCATTTGCTTCTGTGTGTTATGCTGTTTATTTTTTAACATATTTTCATGCATAAACTTACGTTTAGTCCCGTACTATGTGTTTTGTTTGCCTGATGGTATGTCTATACCTCTTCTTTGCCGTACTAATTCACCGTACTATAATAGGCGGGATCTGCGGCAAATCAGCGGATACAGACACCTAACCAAGGCAGAACACTTGACTACAGTTTTCTTTACATGCGCACGGAAGAGGAGCTTTTCGTCAAACAACATCCCGAGATAGGTTACTTCGGCGGACCACTCAACCCTTGTGCCATCCATGATTACAGTACAAGAGGGAGCCGGTTTTAGTTTGGGCGATTGCCGATGGAGGAACATGATCGCTTGTGTTTTGGAGGCATTGATTTTGATTTTCCACGTGGTGGCATAATCAGCAAAGGCGTTAAGGCATCGTTGAAGTTTGTTCGTTATTTCGCGAGGCATCCTTCCTTTGACGGCTATTGCGGTATCAGCTGCGAACAGGAAAAACACGCAACCGTCACCGAGGGGAGGAATGTCGGAAGTGTAAATGCTGTAAAGCAAGGGGCCCAGCAGACTGCCTTGCGGGACTCCTGCTGGGATGGAAAACGTGTCTGAAAGACAACCATTCAACAATACCTTAAACGACCTTTGCTGGAGTTAGTTACGGGTGATTTTAACCAGATGTAATGGGAAGTTGAAGTTACAAAGCTTGTACACAAGTCCGTCATGCCAAAAATTGTCAAACGCCTTTTCAACGTCTAACAAGGCCATGGCTGTGGACTTGGATACAGCTTTGTTACTTCGGATGTTATCCATCACCCGTACTAGCTGATGATTGGTAGAGTGCCCCTTTCAGAATCCAAACTGTTCCGGAAGGAGAATGTTGCTTTACTCCACAAACTTGAGCAAACGATTGAGAATGAGTTTCTCGAACAATTTGCTCAGCGCTGAAAGGAGGCTGATTGGTCTGTAGCTTGAAGACAATGTTGGATCCTTATCGAGTTTGCGGATTGGTATGATTTTTGCTACTTTCCAGGTGCTTGGAAAGTAGTGTAGTTCCAAACATATGTTGAAGATAGCGGTTAGAAGATACTGCACTTTCATGCTGAGTCTCTTCAAAATCAAGTTGAATATACCGTCGAACCCGGGAGCCTTCATGTTCTTGATGCATTTCAGCGCTGAGCAAATTTGTTGTGCTGTAATCATATCCGCCAGAGGCACGACACAAGGGGAGGCATCTAGGTTTTGAACGCATTGTGCAACCTGATCATCGAGCGTACTTTGGATAGTCGAGCCAAGCAAATGCGATGAAGCGACATGCTTGCCGATCGCATTTGCTTTCTCCTGTGGGGTGATTAAAAGCCGATCGTCATCATTTTCGACTCTGAGAGGTGCAACGGGTTTGGGATGAGTTTTCAGGACCTTGGCTAGCTTCCAGAATGGTCTGGAGCGGTCGTCCAGATTCTGGACAACACGCCCGAAACTTTCATTTCGGAGTGAGTCCATTCTGGAAGCAATCTGCCTGTTCAGATCGGCCATATCAAGTTTTTTGCCCAGGTCTCCAGTCCTCTGAAACTGGCGTCTGCGCACATTTATCAATCAAATCAATAATTGAGTGTGGGAATTAATAGCAACAAACTTACCCCTCACAGGAACTTGTCGAACGCATGTCTCGTCAGCCTCGGATATGGCCTGTTGGAGTCCTTCCAACGCCCGGTCGATTTCATCTACGGTATCGAGCGGTGGATTTTCATCGATGTTGCTGTCCACCATTCGTCCGTACTGCACCCAGTTGACATGGTGGTAGTGTTTACGCAGGCAGCTTCTAGCAGGAACCACGTTGACACCGACTTCAGTCACCACTGGTTGGTGGTCGGAGCTGAGATCGTTGTGCGCCTCCGGCTTGGATAGTCCGATGTTTGACAGGAAAAAGTCCAGCGTGGAGGGATTTCCCGCCGGAGAGATGAAAGTTAGTTCGTCCGGAAATTGCACAGTGTACAGTCCATGTTATGCGTGGTCGAACAATAGACATCCGTTCCGGTTCCTCTGGTAGTTCCGCCAAGCTTCATGGTGGGCATTCAGGTCACCCCCAACGATGAATCGGGAGCTAGTACGGGTGATGGCGGTCAGGTCCTTCTTGAATTGGATTCCTAATCCGTTGCTTGCGGTACACTGGCGTGGGCAGTAAACAGCGATGAACCGGTCGTTTCCAGTTGGTGATTCCACCTCCACACTAATGGCCTCGATGATAGAAGTGCGGATGTGGGGCAGAGTGCAAAACTTGATTCCCTTTCTGACGATGACCGCTACACCACCCCCCCCCTCCCCCTGGAGCTGGTGCGATCAAGCCGGATAATGTTGTGGTCAGGCAACCAGAAGCTGTCACCGGACTTTAGGTGGGTCTCGGTTAGAAGAACCACGTCGATGCTATGCTTGCGGAGGAAGTCGGCAAGCTCAATCTGTTTTGCTCTTACAGAGCAAGCGTTCCAGGTAGCGATGGTTAGCGGTTTAGACACCATACTGGATGATGAACTTACCGAGCACTTGGATCTGTTCGGGCTTATTGCGGCACTTACGTAGAGCACCGGTCATGTTGACGAAAATTTCCATCAGTTCATCCGCTGAAAACAGATCGGGGTTGTTGTTTTGCGCTGGTGGTTGTCTCCAGACTCCAGGGGGGGATGGAGAGCTTTGGCCAGCAGAATCACCAGAAGTTGCTTGACCGGAATGCACCCGCGAATTCGCTTGCCTTTGCTGAGGAGCACGAAGAGGCGGGAAATCCTCCGTCCGAAATGCCGGGACTTTGTCCTTCTTGCGTCCTGGTTGGTTGTTAGTTGCCGCCTGTTTTCGGATGCGTTTGAAGTGCTCGCGTTTGGAGCACTGTCTGTCGGAACCTTGGTGAGCACCACCACAGTTGACGCATTTTAACGCCACGGCTCCATCCGCAGGGCAGTCGGAAGTGGCGTGGTCTTGAGCGCAATTGCCACAGCGTGGCTTAATGTTGCAGTTGCGGGTGCCGTGACCGAAGTTCAGACACCGTTGGCACTGAGTCACATCACGATGGCCACCACGGTATGGCTCCCAGCGATGATGGAATTGATGGAGCGGATGGCTTTCAGCGCGTTGAGCGTCACCGTTCTCTTCTGGAAGTGTACCAGGAAAAGGCTATCCGGATACGCCTTCACATTTTCGTCCTTCCTTGTCATCCGATAGACGGCACTTGGGGCCAGCTTGTACCGGTCTCTGATTTCAGCTTCGATAAACTTCGGGTCGAAGTTTGGTAGGCCCCTAATGACGACCTTGAATGGCTTCTCACCGGGAATGTCGTGGGTGAAGAATTCCACCTTGGAAGTCCTCAGGTGGGTGACGACCAAGTCATACTCCGCTTTGGTACGGAGCACCACCTTGGTGCCGACTCTGCCCAACTTGTATTCGGCTTTAACGCCCAGCGTCGCTAGATCTGCGATGAGCTCATTAAGATGGGCATTTTTCACTACCAATGGAGGTAGCTTCACTTTTGCCGCACTCGGGCCGGCAAAATTTTCGTTGCCGATGGCGTCGCCGAAATCACCGATGTCGCTGGCGTTCGTCGCAGTCGGGCTGGCCTCGATTCTTCTCCCTCTTCTTGCTGCGTTTTTCCAACACAGCTGGCTGGATATTCCCATCCATGGGGAGAACAGCAAACTTGTTTGAGGTAGGCACACCGGAGCTTCCTTCACCGGGGTTCTGGACCTTCGCCGGGCTTCGCGACCGATGCTTCCCCATTTCGGGGCACACACACGCGTACGACAAACCGCGAAAGAGAGAGCGCGAACACTATCGCCACGAACTCTTCAAACAACTCGAGAGACCGAGCTAACACCGAACTGAACTGCTTGACGATTAAGCAGAGAATGGTCCTGAAAATTTTAGAAATAAGCACTAAGGAATTTAGATATTTAGGATAATAATTCAGTAGTATATTTAGTAATTACTTTCTGCAACCAGTGTTCTTTCACTTGCCTTCTACTTTTTTTGTCTAGATTATTTGTTTACTCATTCTCCTATCAATCCTGTTATCAGTCCAATTCCTCTCCCACTCTCCCATGTTTGCTCTGAATCATCTCTTTTGCCAAATCATTCCTCTATTCTACTCACCAATACCTGAGTACCAAACCTGTCATCGCTGTGAATATCTGTCACGCCTATTGCGCATCGCGATGTCATGCGCAATAGTCGAAACTGAGCTGCTGTCTGATCACAGTAGCGGCACGCTGGCGTTGACACGCCAACACTGAATGTTCACCAACCAAATGACCTTGGTCACATGAACAACATTGCCGAAGACGGAAGGCTAGGGGTAGACAACTTGTGGTGCATTTCTTATAAAAAAATAAATGCATTTGCATTTTCTCAGTACATTTTTTGTTGCTTGTGACAGTGAAAGCTCTTTCCAATACATGCATGCATGCATGAAAGGTTTTGTCCTATTTTATTATTCTCCTCGGGTTATCTCAAATCCACACTCCTGATTCGAGAAAATTATTCCAGAAGCTCCTCGACCGAGAACGCGGCAAAATCCGTTGAAATTTCCTGGAACCGTTCGAAAATCTCCACTGAAATCATGTAGAAGCTTCCTCATCGTGAACGCGAGAAAATTTCCTTGAAATTTCTTGAAAAAAAAACCACTGAAACCGTGCGAAACCTCGTGCGCAAGAACGCAAGAAAACGCCATCGAAATTTCACATTTTCGCATTTTTGATACCATTATAACACTCATGTGGCTAATTTAGGTCAATTCATATGTAAACACAAATGGAAGGCTGCTTGATTTGGGATTCACTACGGCTCCAGTCGTTTTTTATATCTTCAAACCAGAGATTTCACTTCTTAATGTTGATGTACATCGTAAGCCATTCGTTCTAAGCCTCGACGTTGACTTTAATGTGACCGATCGTCATTATGCTCCAGCAGTATTGGATTTGTCTGTAACCTCGCCGCTTTAGATCACATACTTAAAACAGTAAAATGTTCTCTGGTCCTGAACGGTGATTCAGTGGACGTTATTACGATCTAGTTCTACGAAAAACTTTACGAAATCTTCTACAAGTTTGTTCCTCCGTGTGGAAATCATGGTGGAATGCAGGACTACGTAACCTATGCAACAAACTCCGAAAGATCCGCAAGCGATTTGTCAATGCTAAATCCGAGGATAGCCGAAATATTGTCTGTTCAATCGATACTCACTCAGTAAAACATACTACTGGCCGTGAGCTACGAAGAATATGTTCAGCGAACACAGTCAAATCTGAGACAAAACCCGTCGTTCTGGAAATTCATGAAGTCGCAAAGGAAGTACACTCACGTTCCCAACACAGTTATTCTAGATGGAGTAACCGCAACTTTACCCGAAGAGGCACCTTCTTTCGTCTAGTGTCAACGATAGTCAAGAATACGATTTGAATTCCCCTTTTTGCACTTCACGTCAGGTGACGTTCATACAGCTGTGACCAATCTTAACGTATCTAAAAGCCCTGGAGTCGACGGTATTTCTCCGTACTTTCTGAAATACTGCGCACATGAGCATTCCCGATTTCGTGTATATTCAACCGTTCGTTGTCCGAGAAGACGAAGTTATTCGTCGTTACACAGTTAACGGATATCTACGTACAGAGGACACTGTACTGCACTCTAGTCCATAGCCTCATAGGATACGCTGCTCCCATCTGGGTTCCGTTTCATACCTTACTTATCATAAAAGTTTAATGGTTACAGAGGCTATTCATTAGATTCAAACTACGCAATCCCCCCTACAGCGAAAAAGGTTATCTTCCATTTAATTCCACTTAATTAATTTTGGTATCCATGACAGATACGTATTTCGACTACAATGCGCAGTCTTCATCAGTGTCATTGCCACTAAAGAACTTTTCAAAACCTAACCCCCTTAAGTACTCATCCCCTAGGTAAAAATGTCAAGATCACAGGTATAAAACTGAAACTACAATGTGTAGAATCGGAACCTACCTAACTAAAAAACCAAAGATTTAAGTAAACTAAAGGAGAAAAATCGTTACAAATCTCTAATAAGGAAATTTGCCAAAAGGTGAAGGGGGTTTCTATACGTGTACGATACATTACATGGAAGGCAACAAAGGAATCAGCAACTTTTTATTTCCGACCTTCTTGGAGGAAACATCAAGTACATACCCTCAATTGCTCCAGGAAATTACTCTCTATGTTCCACGTCTAAACTCGAAACTAAGGAGATCAGTTTCAGTAATCCAAGGAACACATCTTAGTCCTTGTTACTTTTTATAAATGCAATAAATGCAAGAATGACAACTGTAAAAAAAAAATCGAATACTTCATCATTTCTCAATAGTGATGGAGTAATACGACATGCACTAAACTAAGGACAGGGGATATACTACAATAGATCAAATTACTGGTCGCCGTGGTGTTAGGTCCCGAACAGAAGAAAAAAAGGTAGAGTAGTATGTACGATTGAATCGAAAACGAAGCAATAAATAAAATACCCTCAAAAAACACCTCAGGAACACACGACATTCTATCTTGCCAACATTCCCCGACTGTATGTTATTGTAATTTATTTAGTCAAACGTAGTCCTGGTGGATGAAATCTTTATCAGGACAGGACAAGGAAATACATTATGGAACCTTAGTGGGCAGCATCTAGAATCGTCTTCGAAATCATGCAGAACCTCCTCCGCTGAGAGGGTAACTTCCTGCAGCAGCATCGGTAATCAGCACCGAAATCGTGCGGCACCTTCTCCGCCGATAATGCGAGAATTCTCTGTCGAGACTTTCTGGAACATCTGTTGTCAGCATATAAATTCCTACCGAAATCGTACGGAACCTCCTTTACCGGGAACACGAGAAAAGTCCGCAGCAATTTACTGGAGAGAACGCCGAGAACGTCGAAACTTCCTGGAACTTCCGTTGGCAGTCTCCAAACTCTTTACTCTACTCTAATCCACAGAAATCGGGCGGAAACGATGATTTTCATTTTCCTGTTTTGCTTGTTTATCTTCGCCTCGATATGTATGTATGTATAGGTGTCTACGTAAATGCGCATGGTTTGTTTTGACGTTTACATCCCACTGAACGGTTGATGCAAAGGAAATTAAATCCATTTTATTCAAACTTAATCCATATTCAATGGGCATTCCAAAAGTGAGACGCCTGCTAGAAATGATCTCGTGGTATAATCAGGAAGTCAATATGTATACTAGCACCGCGTGGCGAGTTAATTCTGAACTAATATGTTCACCAACCCCAAACGACCTTGGTCACATAAACAACTTTGCCGAAGACAGAAACTTTCTGTACCCAAGTACACAAATTCATAGATTTATGTAAACTTCTTTACAACCAAAATTAGTAATATAAAGGTTTTGTAAACTGCTATAGAACATGTGTGTAGTTTGGGTATGAACATGCTCATAAGATATAGCAGATGCAGTATATTTACATTTACATCTATATTAGTATATTAGTAGAATTGGATTGTACGTTCGAAATGCTTCAATAAGGGTACCCAATGTCATTTGTATCCACACACTAAAAAAATCTGAATTTTACTAGTGATGTAAACATTCATGCATGTAAACTTCCTTTTAACGTAAACTAGCAGCTTGCAAGAATGTTGCAAACAAAGGTGGAAAGTTGCATACAATATATGGAATATTGCATAACATGTATCATAAATTTACACGATTTATAATGTAAATTTGTATTATTTATGACGCTCCATTTATGTGCATCATAGTATTACGGAAATTTACACTACTTTTTTTAGCTGTGCATGCTTGGCATACACAGTTTTGGTCACGAACTGCTCATGTGCTAATAACTTTACACATAATTGACAAAAAATAGTTCTGTTTGAAGCAGTAGATATAATAAAGTTAGAGCTTGTAATAGGTACGTAATAAATAAATAATTCTAGTAATAAACTGTATTTGTTTTTGCGTTGTAAAAACCAAAGTGAGAAATGCTCGCTGCACATCTCGGACTTTATGTATAAAAATTCATTGCGGTTGATTCAATTGATTTGCATATCTATAGTAAGCTATGATCCTTTATCTATCAATTACTTTAAACTACTGTGTACAACTGTGCATGCCAAGCATGTTTGAATCTTTATTCGTTGTAGAAATATTTAAATATGAAAATAGGTGTTTAGTAAAAATTGTCAGTCCCTAGAGCCGGGGTTGGCCGTTTGTCACATAATGTTGGATCTTTTTTTTATTGTTTGCCTAAAATATTGCGTATTATGCACTCCTGAGCTGAAAATAACCCATTTTTTTTTTTCGTTCAGGCCAAAATATTAAATAAATATTATTAATTTCTATAGTTCTATCACCGCTTAGATGTTGATATGATATCCTACTGTAAAATGAAACGCGATAGTACATTGAGAATGGTAAATTTTTATGTTGGGCGCCAGTGTTACGGTTCCCCGGTTGCGGTAGAGCAGAGCTACCATAGGGCGGACTTATCACAAACACTTAAGGCAATGTGCACCAACAAATCAAACAAAATCATGAGAACATAACTTGTTAACAAACGTGTATTCTCATTGCCCACATATTTTCCCCTCCTAGCTCCTGCTCCTCTCTCTCTCTTTCTCCTACTCTTGTTACTCTTCCTGGACCTGTCTAATGCTTGCTAAACAACATAACTCTTCTTTTTTCCTTTCTTTCTTCGGCGTCGCAAACCTTCCGCCCCCTACGTACATTGGAACGTACTCACATGTTCTCCTGCTCGCCGTCGTTGTTGCCACTGAGGAGCTCACTGCATGTCCTCGGGGCTCGCGATTGACTAGCTTCCCGCCGTCGTCTAGTCGGCAACTCGACGAACGATCGTCGTACGCTTCCGTCTGAGACCGACGTCCTGTTGGTCACTCGCCGCACGGTACCAACGCTCGCCGTCACACGGGCCTCCGTAGTTGGTCCTCGTCTCACCTCCGTCTTTGACCGTCGAGCGGTCCAATCGCTTGCCGTCACACGGAGCTCCGTAGTCGGTCCTCGTCGCACTACCGTCTTTGACCATCGAGTGGTCCAATTCCGTCGACGTCAGCCGGCCTTCCCGCACTTCCCGAATCTTGAGACCGTGGAAAAATAAAGCGCCCTGAAAAGGCTTTCTATTAATATCGGCAGAGACAATACTTGTGCCGTGAAACTCACCCTCGGATCGGGACGCTTCTTTCTCGTTCCAATTCAGTCGTTTTCCGTGCGGTCCGTGTAGCGACCGGTTGATCACTGTTCCTGGCTCAAGCCGATTTGAAAAATGCCTAATTAAAACGAACATGTTAGCATCATCGTCGCCATCTTTTATGCAGCAAATTACCTGCGACTACGCTGAATTCCTGTCCAAGAGTCCGTTTTGTGACCAGTGCGTGTGCACGTCTTCTACGGGCGGTTAGCGTTGGAAGTGGTTTGGCCGGCTGTACTGTCCACCCGTCTACTTTGTCGGCACTCTGCACTCGTACCGGAATTTTTCTACCTGGTGTGCCAGATGCCACTATGGCGGTCCACCAATAATGATTTTTTTTCACTGCCGCTTTTCTTCTCCGAACCGGCAGCCACGGTGTTGTTGTTCGTATGCGTGCGTTCTCCTCCTTTCATGCAGTCTCGAACGGAAAACGAGCTCGCACCACGGTGTCAAACACGAGAGATGAGCAAGACAATTTCTTGTGTGCTTACGTTTTCAAGCCAGGAAGGGGTTTGGACTTTTTGCTATAATATCCGTGTTACTACACTGAGTACAATTTTCATTACATTTTGTACTATTCTTTTACTAATGTAAGATTCTAAACTTCATCTTACAATAAACGGAACAACTGACTTGAGCGAAAAACATTCTTAGAGACTGCCGATCTTTAATGGTAGTGCAAAATTCGATATAAGTAGATCCACCAATTTTGGTTCAAATCGGTGAGGCTCGATGCAATTGCTTGGTCACTTGAGGTGAAATGACCCATATACATTATTGGCCAACAATAGACAAATATTAAATAATGTAGTTCAATAAAAAGAGAATTTACAAAAAAACATTTGTTTATTTACAACGTTTGTTTGAATATAATAAATATTTGCATTTTATATTGATAGTCTATACATGGATACCTATCTGTGAATCATTATGCAGTTCACCCAATCAATTCAAAGTCTTGTATTATCCAGTTGAATAAAATCGTCGTACAATCCAAATAGCACATACAATTTCCTAACAATCGATGAATGATTTTTGGCATAAATTATATCTTCACGTCTGTTTTTACTTTCTTCTTTGTATTTCAACCAGGCTTTCCGCGTGTGCTCTGCAGACGGACCCCACTGTGAGCTCGGTTTAGCTGCGCTCGTGATTTTCGTCCACAGTGACGTTTGTGTAGAATCCTCAGTCACAGTCCAGGTTGCCCAAATTAGCACTTGTGAAAAACCGAATGCAAACACGATAATGCCGCAAATCAAAGCATCATTAGGATATTGTTTGCCACTGTATGTAGGCCATTTGTATTCAACCAGTGAGTAGATAAAAACGGCAATCATGAAAAGTGGCGTTATTAGTCCCCAACACAGTCGCCAGTAAATCCCAACTCGACGCTGCACCATAAACTCCAAATCACTGCACCAGTCTTGCAGCCCATATATCCAGAAGATGACTATCATTTCTACTATAGCCAAGACATAGATTAGGAACGTTCCTCCGTAATGATCGACCAGGTCCAGTATCCACTGACCTCCCTAGAAAGGAAAAACAAATATTTGAGTTTTTAGAGTTGTTTAAGGTTGTGCAATTGTTTGTTACAGAAGGTGAATCAACTTTAGAATTACTATAAACAAGTTTTTTTTTATTCCATATATACACTAAATGTTCGCTAGAAGGCATTTTTATCAATCCCACCAACTCTCTTCGCCTCTTAAAAGCTACATAAAGTATGTAGGAGGAATGATATAAGTATCATCCCTGAATGATAACGTTGCTGGCGAAAATATTAACGCGCTTCCAACATTATTAAAAAATAAAGTGTCCGAAATATTAATCACTTTTTTCCGCTGAGGAAAAATGTGATTCATATTTCGGACACGACTGTTTTAAGCATTGTCCAGACTGGGCAGTTATAAAGTGTTATAAAGGTTGTCAATTAATTGCCCCACGAAACTTCAAAAATAACGTGGTAAATCCACGTAAAACGAATAAAATGAAATTATACAGTGATTGCTATCCTACGTAGCTTAAACACCCATATTCAAAATTGGGTGCCCAAAATTTGAATCTCCTCAAAGACATAAGTCCGAAGTTTGAATAGCAGATAGCTTAACTTAAGGATACTTAAGTAATGAATCGAAGAAACGGAACTAAGTAATGTATTACCATAAATTATATGTCCGTTTTCTTCAGCACATGTCTGAACTGTCCAAAGTATGAATTAAAATTTCCAATAAAAACAGATCCATTAAAAATAGAAATCCATCATAAAAAAAACCAGAATTTATCCACCTATATGGTGAGATTTGATCCATCTAATTTTATTTTCCGACATAATTGATCAAGTCCGCATTTAGTGAAGTTTTGTAAGATAATTTCTTAATGAAATGTGGGTCTGTGTTTGATTTTTTTGTGATACGTTTTGACTCCTTGGCATATTTTGGCAGGGGAGCACTCGGAACATGACCGGTGCAAATGGTCACATATTTGATTTTGTTGTGATTGATTGTGACTTTAGTTTACTTCAGATTCTCATTCTGGCCACTTTCCCGGTGGAACCCATAGCTTGTGTGGCCAATGTTACCCTCAGCAGGCTAGGACGCGGCAAGATTGCCCTATCATCATTTTTTATATGTTATATCGAAATTAATATATTAAAATATTGTCTGTCTTAGTTATTTAATGTCTGCTCTAGCGCCTAAGGGCTTATATGACACATTCTACCAGCAATTATCGACGTTTTTTGCTTATTTTTGTTCTGTAACTAATGAAAATGAAATTAACCCACGAATACTATCGCATTTTTGGAAAGTATGAAAAATCTCCTATACACTTAGATTTTTTGCCGAGATTGGCATCACCGAGCAGGCTCGGCATTTATTTTACTGAGATCTCAGCTAAATTATGTTTGATCTCGGCAAATTTCCCGTTTGTTAACTAAATGTCGGCAAATTTTTCACTGAAATCCAACAAAATAGATTGCCGAGCTGCTCGGTGGTGCCCATCTCGGCAAAAAATCTAAGTGTGTAGAGGAAAGTATGGTTTCGGCACTTCTTTATACTTATTATCGTCAGGGGGTAAACGAAGTCCTAGGAGGCTGATTTTTTCATGAAGGTGCATCATCTTTCAGAGCATCGTTGTGATGAAAAATTAACACTCTAAGATCTCATTTACCCTCTGACTATAATAGGTAAAGGTATTGCAGAAGCTACCATTTCCCCTATAATAATTTATCATGAGTTTATAATTTGAGTAGCTGATCTGGTGAGTGAATATGTTGCGTACGTTACAACCTTTTGCACTACTCAATTACACTACTCAACTACACTATTCAAAAACTACTCACCAAAAAATTTTAATCCACTCAAATTAGAAAATCTTGATCAAAATTACTTTAATTTTTTTTTAGCTACATTTCAAAACCTGTAAATAAACAGGCAAAACTGTTGTAAAATGTGGTTAAATATATTAAAAATTAAATATTTTGTAAAATTAATTAAAGTCTCTTCTTATCCACTCCGGGCACCCATATAAATTTGTATTTTTTTTTTCTAGTTATGTTTCTTTTCAATTTTTTTTTAGTTTAGTTAAACTAAATACCACCAGTGTTTTCAACGGAATTTACGCACCCTTTGCAGGAAGAAAATGTGTTTCTGCTTAACCTGATGCTCTCTTCAGAGGTAGGCTAGACGTACCGGATCCGGCTGAGAACTAAATTGACGAGTATCACGACGTTTCGCAGGAGATGGACCTGACGCACTTTCCTGAGGCAGACTATGACAAACCGGATGTGACTGGTATATCCGATATATAAATCCGATATTTTTAATAATATTCTAAACTCTCACAAACAAACAAAAATTTCTTCTTTTTTATTTTTTTATTGTTTTCCGTGCTTCCCACACCTGGACATATCGACCTATCAACTCATGAACCGGGGACCAACGGCTTTACTTCCCTTCCGAAGAAAGGCGTGATCAGAGATGTTATGCCTCAGCAACAACACCAACGACAACAACAACAACAGCAACAACAACAACTACAACTACAACAATAACAACAACAACAGCAATAACAACAACATCAACAACAACAGGACCCGAAGCAGCCATCTCTACAACAGCACTGACATGACCTTTGGATAAAGAACTTTTGGCTGCTGCACGAATACAATTTTCTCGGCCACCCAAAGAAAGCGGACTAAATTTCATTAATTTCGAAAAAGGGGAAACTATTAACCCTTATCGAACTGAAAAACCAACTGAGCGAGAACACCCTCCTCTTCTGGACCCCATGCGTCCGCCAATAGTGAGACTTACTGAACAGTCCGTAACTGGCGACCAACGCTTCCTGAAGGCCCGTCTAAGGGACCCGAAAATTATGGACATTGTTCGGACCTACCTCTCCTTCCTGCATGACCAGCCATCATCAACATGTATTCGCGGAATCACCAAAACCAGTGCTATTCTAATGCTAGCAGCTGAAGGACTACCAAAAGACAGAAATCTCCTGCACGAAATTTTCCTGGACGTCCATGAAGAACTTGGAATTACTCGAAACGACGCCTTGGCAGACCTGCAATCCTACCGTACATTCCTGTCCAGTGAACGCACGCAACGGCTACAATCTACTAGGGAGGCCGCCCTCAAATTTTACAATCCTGTAAATTTTCAACGCCGCTGACGCACCTTGAGGAAGACTCATTATTTCTATATAACGATGCTCGGCATGAGACTGAGGTAACTAATAATAACAATGACCATACTTTATCAACCGACGTATTTCCAACAATTTCTTCACACAGACAGAATGCGACTGAAATTTTGATTTATTGTCAAAATTTCAATCGCATGAAAAGCCCAGCTAAAATGAAGGAAATTTATCAACATTTATTATGCTCATCCTTTTCGGTCATTCTGGCAACTGAAACAAGCTGGGACGAAAGCGTAAAAAGTGAAGAAATCTTTGGAAATGCCTTTAATGTATTCAGAGACGACAGAAATTTTCATGCAACTCAGAAGAAGTCAGGCGGTGGAGTCCTTATAGCTCTTGCGACCAATTTTAACTCAGAACTCATCATTACACCAAAATTTACAGAATTTGAGCATATTTGGGTGAAATCACACATAGCCGGTGAAACGCACGTGTTCGCCTCAGTGTATTTTCCACCAGACCATGCTCATAAAAGCACTTATAAAGCCTTCTTCCTAAGTGCTGAACAAATTCTATCTGACCTTCCTCCTGAGGTTAAAGTTCACATCTATGGAGACTTTAATCAACGCCATGCTGACTTCATTCTGGACTCTGAAAATGAATGTATCTTACTCCCAGTCGTTGGGGATAATGAAACATTGCAGTTCATATTTGACAAAACTGCTAATTTAGGACTGAACCAAATTAACCACATCAAAAACCAACAAAATTGCTATTTGGACTTTTTACTAACGAATATTTATGAAGATTTCTGTGTGACCGAATCATTAAATCCACTGTGGAAAAATGAAGCGTTTCACACAGCAATCGAATATTCTTTATTTATGCATGAAAACCAAAGACCCAACGACTGCGAATACGAAGAAGTCTTTGAATACAAATTAGCAGACTACGAAAAAATAAAATTTAAATTAAACAGTGTCAATTGGCAATTAATTTTAAGGAATGTAGGAAATGTCGAAATTGGTATAGACGTGTTCTACAAAATTTTAACAGAAATAATTTCGGAAGAAATACCTTTGAAGAAAAAAAGACGTAACAGAAACACACAAAATCCAGTCTGGTTTAACAGACAAATAAAAAACTTGAAAAATCGGAAGCAAAAAGCACATAAAATTTATAAAAAACACAATAGTAGTAATAATTTATTAATTTATTTGGATCTATGCGATCAACTGAATTTAGCTATCAGTACTGCATTTGAAGAATATAATGCAAAAACTGAACGTGAAATAAAGTCCTGTCCGAAGAACTTCTTTAATTACGTAAAAACGAAATTAAAATCTGACAATTTTCCTTCAATAATGCATCTGGACGAAAATGTCGGTGATAGTTCGGAAAAAAACTGTAATCTATTCGCAAAATTTTTTCAAGAAATTTATACGACATTTTCTGAAGAAGATCGTGACCGCGATTATTTTGCATTTTATCCAGAATTTTCAAGGGACATTGGCCTCAATCAACTTCAAGTGTAGGACATTTTGCAGGCTTTAAAAAATTTAGATGCCTCAAAAGGTCCTGGACCTGACGGAATTCCTCCAGTATTTATTAAATGTCTAGCAATGGAACTCACTGCTCCATTGTTTTGGCTTTTTAATATGTCCCTGGAATCCGGAACCTTCCCTAAAATTTGGAAAACCTCATTTCTAGTACCTATCTTTAAATCTGGTCGAAAATCTGACGTACGTAATTATCGTGGAATAGCCATTATCTCTTGCATTCCTAAGCTTTTCGAGACAATTATCAACGAAAAATTATTTCTCCAAATCAAAAATAGAATTACTGACATGCAACACGGCTTTTTCAAGGGTCGTTCGACCTC